GCAGCAGCAGCAGCAGCAGCAGCAACTGCAGCGGGAACGACCAGGATCACCACCCCCATGTCTTCCTGCACTGAGGCGCTGCTGCTGCCGTTCCTCAGGCTGCTGCTGTCTTACTACCCTGAGCAGCGTCATCTCCAACGAGAGCAGCAGCAGCAGCAGCAGCAGCAGCAGCAGCAGCAGCAACAGCAGCAGAAAGGGTGGTTATACACCAAGTTGTCACTCCATACCCCGCGCAGCAGCAGCAGCAGCAGCAGAACCAGCAGCAACAGCAGCAGCAGGGGTGTGTTCTTCTCCGGCGTTGCCAGCAGCAGCAGCAGCAGCTGCTGCTGCTGCTGCTGCTCTTGAACGTTAGTTGAAGCAGCAGCAGCAACAACAGCACAGCAGCAGCAGCAGCAGCAGCAGCAACGCGAATGCAGCAGCTGCCGCTGCAGCGGCAAGACCGCAGCCCCCGCGTAGATAAGCTGCTGTCTGCAGCCACAGCAGCAGCAGCAGCAGCAGCAGCACCAACTGCAGCAGCAGCAGCAGCAGCAGCAGCAGCAAGAACAGTAACCGCAGCAGCAGAAGATAATGTTGCTGCTCCTCGTTCCCGTCGCTCCTCTCGCAGCAGCTTCACCCAGCAGCTGGCAGCAGCAGCAAAAGATGCTGAATATCTCCTTGCTGCTGCAGCAGAGAAAAGATACGCTGCAGTGAGGCTTGTTGCTGCGCTGCCGCAGCAGCAGCAGCAGCAGCAGCTGCAGCAACTGCAGCAGCAGCACCAACTGCAGCAGCAGCAACTTCAGCAGCAGCAACTGCAGCAGCAGCAACTGCAACAGCAGCAACTGCAGCAGCAGCTGCTGCAGCAGCAGCAGCAGCACCGCCCGCGCCACTCGTGCGGCCCTGTAACGGTTGGAGCAACAGCAGCAGCAGCAGCAGCAGCAGCAGCAGCAGCAGCAGCAACAGATGGGGGTTGTGCTGCTGCTGAACACCGTAGGCGGAAGAGTGTCGGGGCGACAGCAGCACCCCCTGCTGCTTCATTCACAGCAGCAACAGCAGCAGCAGCAGCAGCAACAACAGCAGCAGCAGCAGCAGCAGCACGCGGTGATTGCCTCCTCCAGGAGCAGCTGGCAGAGCGGCAGCAAAAGCTGTTGAGGCGGCAGCAGCAGCTGCAGCAGCGGCAGCAGCAGCAGCAGCTGCGGATGCTGCAGCGACAGCGAGATTCTTATAATGAACTCCACATGTATCAGCAGCAGCAGCAGCAGCAGCAACTGCAGCAGCAGCAGCAGCAACTGCAGCCGCAGCAGCAACTGCAGCAGCAGCAACTGCAGCAGCAGCAACAACTGCAAGAGCAGCAGCAACTGCTGCCGCAGCAGCAACTGCA